GATTGGATTAAGGATAATAAAAGCAGGGAAGGCGTCATTTGCATTATCCAAATTTTTCAAAAGTAAAATGCTATCAAAGAAAACAAAAGTTAGACTCTACACAGTAATAGTGAGAGCTATATTAACATATGAATGCGAAGCATGGACGACTACAAGCGTAACAGAACGAAGACTAACTACCTTTGAAAACAAGATATGGCGTGTGATATGTGGACCCAAATTAGACGCGAACACCGGTATGTGGAGAAGAAAGTATAACAAAGAACTAATTGAAGAAACAGAAATGACTCCAATTAAATATTACATAAGTGGGCAGAGAATCCAGTGGTTTGGGCACATTATGCGAGAGGGTGATTACAAGATCACCAAAACAGTAATGTCTTGGAAACCTGCGGTAAGAGACCACGAGGACGCCCGAGGAAAAGGTGGATAGATGTAGTCGAGGAAGATCTAAAAAGGATAGGAATTGATGATTGGAGAAGTATAGTATGTGATCGAGAGAAGTGGCGTGAAGTAGTGATGGCGGATAGAGTAGATAAAGCCAGAAGAAGAAGAAGACTATGATTTATCATTGAATTCAAATGTTACACACCCATTACAGTGACATATGCAATGGCGACGCACACCGCTGAGCGGTTACCTACAACTTTAATGATTGTCGGCTTTTTATTATGTTGAACCTATTTGTGTATTCCAATCTCTGATTTTAAATAATAATAGAAAAGACAAACACGTGCTATTAATTATCATATTGTCAACTTGCCATTATTTCATTTATAATCTAATCCGTGTTATTTTAATAATTATTTTTAATTTTTAATTATGTTGCTGCATAAGAGATAAATGTATAATGCCGAGCAACAAAAGCCAAAATACGACTCGTGTTCATAATATTATACAGGACTACATGAGATTTAATTAAGTCATCATCATTGACAAAATATATTTAACTTTTTCCTAGATACATTTTCTTATAATATTATTCAATTTTGGATCACGTTGAGTTGATTTTGTGTATACCAACCAACCACCATAATTATTATTCATTTTATCTTAATATTAAGTATATGTATTTCTTTTCTATTTTTCAATTAATAAAAAAATAATGTAGATAAAATTCTAGAATAAATGTGTCATCAAATGCATGTTAAAAATTATCAATATAAACAATTAACACTCATCAGTGCCAAATACAATCATACCTTTTTTTCAGTCAAACCAAATAAAAATGTTATACTTCTCTTTAAAAACAAAATATTTAAACAAAATAACATTCAATTACAACGCTCACAAGCTCACAATTTTTTTTTTTTAGCTTTTATTAATAAATCTAGCTCAACAAATACTCACAATATTTTTAATAATAGTGTTTCAAATTCGCTTGTTATAACTTCGGGTTAGGTTACACGATAAATAAATAGTATTTATATTATCATATTATATTATTATAATATTATTGTCTATAATATAAATTTCATACATAAAGTTTCTCGGCAGATAATATAATGTAATATGTTATGTTATTAAACGATAAAAACGAATTTTCTGGTTTCACATTTTCTTAAGATTATTTTTGATTAAATATTAGAACAAAACTATTTCAACAAACATTTATCAGTTCAAAATAGTTTCATTGTTTCAATAACGCGACAGCCAAATAATAGTAATTTTATAATTTAATAAACATCAACCTACCGATACCTACTATAATATATTATATATATAATATGTATAATTTCATAATAGTAAAATTATTATATTATCTAAATTATGACAAACACTTAATAAAATTTAACATTGAATTTCTTAAATGCCCTGAATGCACAAAAAATGTGTACCTATTCTGTAACAATTTGTTAGGTAACGTTCAACCAGAATGTTAATTTAGTTCACAAACAATGTTTATTTATAGGTTAAGGTGCACATAGTAAGTGTAGTAGGTGCCGTATAGCATTATATTGCTAAACTTTATCTTATGTATCTAATATCTATACCCATATTAATTTTGTGTTTAGTATAATAGGTACTTTATAGTTATTTTTATTATTTTAATATTATTTTATATGTTTCTATCATTTTGTGTGCATTATAATGAATTAATATGTAATTGTTATAGTTATGAGAATTAGTGGACAGAGAAAAGGCCGAATATGCCAACACTTGAACATAAATGGGGCATTTCGGTTTAAGTGCTTAAGTAATTCAACAAACTGCAATTGTGAGAAAACCATAGGACACATTGCCATCACTGAGTATGATTTGAACAAATTACATGCAGAAGAACTCATAAGTGAAAAGGATTAACGACGAATATAGTTACCAAACTCCTCGACCGCGGTTACATAAATAATAATTAATAATTAATTTTGTATGTTATGTAATAAAAATATATTATATAGTTAGTTAATGTTCGTGTATTATGGTAGTATATAGTAGTTGAATTAATTTATCATCTATTTATTTATTATAAGTATAATATTGTGTGTTTGTTACTGTCATTAGCTATTCCAACTAATATATTATTATGTAAAGCTAGAGAAAAAAAAATTAGACATGTCATATATACTTATCTATTTTTTACAATAAAATATTAATGTCAACGAAATGTTGATGTCATATTATGACACTGTATAAGCTTAAAAATTTTAAAAGTGTGTATTCCAACGTGGGTACATAATATGCCAATAATAATATTATTTATAGTAATAAATAATAATAATTATAGTAATAGTAATAATGATAATAATAATAATAATAATAATAATAATATTAATAATAATAATAATAATAATAAGATTAATAATAATAACGACAGCTAAAACGATGGTTGAAAAGCAAACAATAAAGGACATTTTCACTGTTTTTGAATTACCAGGTCACTTTAGTGGAGTTTCTTTGTTTTGCGTAAACAAAATCAACACACAGTGACAACAAAATAAGATAAAAATTATTTTTTCATTCTTAAGCGATGGGTAGATCGTAGAAAGATGTTGGAAATAAGCAAACCATGGGGATTTATTTTATCTACTAAACTATTATCGGGAGGTGGACCACTCTTCTGATTTTTAAAACTAGTAAACTCTCCCGATGGTAAACTGTCTCGAGTCAATATTATGTTTACCTGAAGGAAATGTGTAAGCTCTCCTGAGCTGTTTTAAATGTTATTGCTACACTACTACATTATGAATCGGCTACACTGCAGATATTGTGATTATCATTTTAAATATTTACCATCAATTGTATTACCGTTAACCTATTTTTAATTTAAATATTTAAAACGATATTGGCTCAACTAAGTTTTTTGTACGTTTTAAGTTAACGGAACAAATACGTGTATTTATTTTTCAAAAGCAATCAATACTACCATGGAGTGGTGAAGTTAAATGGAAATGTAATGTGAATAAATGCTAAATGATATGATAGGCGACGGACTGAATTATTTTAATGTTACCAACTATGTAATACGAATGTCGAATAATGTCCCATGCTCCTATACCCCTTACCTCTGCTGCTCATACCTTAGTAGTATTGAAATATTGTAGACCCGGGAGAGTTTGCATGTTCCAATAAGGTAGTACTGGAGTAGACCTGTGAGAGTTTAACATCGGAAAAGTTCACATGCCATTAAAATTGGTAGAGTTTACAATCATCCCTATTATCAATACATCACAACTTAAAAACATAAACAGTTAATGTTTCTGGATTATAGATGATTTATTATATTACGTTATTTTGATAGCTGGCAATATAATATGATTGTTAATAATTATGAACTTGAAAAATTTAATCTCAAATATTTTTAGGGTGTGAGATCGATTGGCGTACAGTGGTAGGAAGTGTATGATCGAATATTATCTAAAATAGATAAACGACGGTCTAACCTAAGTTTGCTGCTATAAAATTTACCTAACACCCTTTATTTTACCTTACCGATTGGTGATTGTTTTACGTATTTACTTATCTATTCCTATTTGTCGAGTCCTTGAAACGAGCAGTTTATATACCTACTAAAGGACATAGGTAATACTATCGAATTCATAATATATTTTACACTTAGGTAATATCCTACTGCGTTGAAGAAGTCGTAATAGTATTAATAAACAATTTTGTCTCTCATAACATGTATTATTATTATAACACTTATAATGTTAATAAATTAATTTAGAAATTAAATAAAAATTGTCTTTTTCATATGTTTTTATGGTTTATTATTTTAGACAAAATTATTTAAATTTATTAAACAAGCTGTTACCAATGTCTAATAAATAATACATTTTTAATAACAATTATTAATATCCAACCAATTGTTATTATTATTTTTTTTAATATTAATTCATTAGTTTATCATTAATAATATTTTTACAATATACATTTTGTGTCGGTAACTAACACATTTTTACATACCTGGTCACATATAATAGATTAATATGTTGTTATATATTTTAAAATATACAAATCAATAAATAATAATATATAAATACATTTTTTAATATTTTTTTTACCGCTTTTATGGTACTTGGTATATAAATATTTTACCATAATGCGTTGTGAATATTTATTCCGTCACGTGTGCATCTAAAATATTTTAAATGATTTATAATTATAAAACACTATTACAACTATAGTTTATAAATGTAATTTAATTCAATTAAATTTATAATTATTAGTATTAAATTTTAATGCGCAATGGCAATCAACTAATAATATTTTAACACGTGCAAGATTTAAATTTTTTACTAGGATTTTAAAACAGAATAATCAATTAATAAATACCTAGGGATTTTAAACTATTACCTATAGAATATTAAAAGAATACACATTTTAAGCACGTATATAATGTATAGGTACTATACATAATTATTGCTGTACATTTTGTTTTAATACACAAAATATGCCTGAATAAGAAATTTTATTTTAAAATCCATAATATTTCACAAAGATTTATATCGACATTAATCTATTAACAAAATATTATATCCATATATTTAAATCATATTTACCAGCGTGATAAAAGTTGTCATATGTCATAGTATTCGTTTATTTCGTTCTTGAATCGCGTTAAAATCAGAATTGAGTTGAGTTCTTCAATAATAATAATAACAAATAATTACAATAATGATCTTATATTAAAAGCAAATAAATAAGTAAGGTAATTGCTACTGATTTAATTGGGTATTGCATTGCACGGCGACTATAGATATAATCGATCCACTTGCAGAACCCGAATACTACAGTGTAGGTACAGATCGGTTTAAGCGAATTTAGAAAATAAACGATAAATGGTTTGGATAGTCGTTAATAATATTATTATGATAAACATTGTAATCATTTTTGATAACAGAGCATTTAATTTAAAAAACACAGTTTTTTTTATTATTAACTTGTATTGACAGTTTGTTAGTCATTCTGATTGGATTATAAGTCTATATCGCTATATTATAATTGATATTTGCATTGTTTTTCATCGGTTTGTTCCCTGCAAACACACACACACACACACATATATATATATATAATTATTTTTCCGTTATTCAGAAACAAATCAGTAAGTTAGTACACGAATAAAGATGTGTAAATAATAATTAATTATATAGTATACTTAACAAATATAAATTGTTCCTTATTAATCATTATCGTTAGAGAAATATGTTTGAACGATTTCAATTCAGAACTTTGATCATAAACATTCATTATTTTAGGATTCAAATAGCAAATAACAGTAAATTCTCAAACAATACCTACTGACATTTATTGTTTGGACTGTAAGCGTACCTACTGTATATCGTATATTGTACGGTGTCTTAGCAGAAATTAAAGACGAAATTCACGCACTGAGTAGTGACTATATAGTCTATAGGTATAATTCTATAATAGTTAGGTACTTATAATTAATGAAAATTGTAATCGGTAATTTAAAATATTATTTATCACGTTTTGGAAAATTAATTGTTTGAAAATAAATTTCAACTCGAACAACCAGAGGACCATCTGGTTTTAATAAGTCTTAACAATAGTATTATATTAATTAATTTAATATCATTTTAAATCTATTTTAGCAGCAGTCACTTATTAGAAAACGATCAAATACATAATATTTTTAATATTTTGGTCGATAATACTGACAAATTTAGGAGAGCATATTGATTTATATATTATTATTGAAAACATATTATATTACGTAAATACATACCGATTTCATGAGAAAGTTATTATATTTATTTTATTATTATTATTACTATTAGTTTAAAACATTTTGACTTGACAATGTATAACATAATAATATTATGTACCTACCACCAGTACCTACCTACATCTGAGTAGTGGCATACGCAGTTGGAGACCACCTCATGCCAAAGCCCCTTTTCATTGCCCGTATTATTATTATTATGATAAAAAGTTATTTTTAAATATATTTTTGTTTCACATCAGTAATAATACTAAGAAAGTTCCTATACTTAAATTTCTAGACCCCCAAAGTCATAACCATCACCGAGCAGACAACCAATTAAAATTGAAACGAAAAACTGAAACACAATTTTTCCCAAATGCCACGAAAGACATTTTCGTGTCCTCGAGACAGTTGTCCAGCCACCGTACATCGTAGGCTCAGCGTAGTATTATATTCGAGTTCGTTGACTGTCGATGGCAAACGAGCTGATCATGAGATTTTTTCTCTAAAACCGTAAACCTTAACTCATATAATATTATTTTATTATTTATTAATTTAGCGATTACGTTCATATAAACAGTTCAAAAATCTCAAGGACTCGAACATTTGTAATGACATTTTAATGTAAACAAATGCAAATAACACGTGTAATTAAATGATATATTGAAACAATATACGACATTAATAAATAATGATTATAATATTAAATACTGCAAGCGTTAGCACTAGGAAAAAAATTATAATCAAAAAATAAATACTAATACTAATAACAACAGACGCAGAAAGCTAATCGAATCGGTTACAGCGATTTACATGTTATATGAAATTTCACGTGGACGATGAAAAATATATCATAATATTGTGTTATAGCTACAGAAATMGTAGGTTGCACACTGCACACGTATTGTACGTATTTGATATAGTAACAATAATTAGTGTTGTTCGGACAATGGTAGCTAAATTTGTATTTCATTTTATCATCTTCGAACAATCGAAATTAATATAATAATTTCATATTATAATTTATTATACATAATAGTGCTTAGTCATACACTCAAACGTATTACAATAAAATATTTCCGTCATCCTGGGAACATCCCAGATTATCGATATTGTTATTATAAATACATAAAATCGAAATCTATGATTCGTCACTAATAAAATTATTATAGTAATCATATGATTATAATAATAAATTAATATAATGATATAAAAGTACGGGTGTGTCACACTTGTGGATATAATATATGTCATTACTTGTAATAATAATTTAATGTGGTGCACTATAATATCGATAAGGCCTTATACTATAACAAATATTTGAAATTTTCTACGGTTGAACATGTTAAGAGGGAGGGCAGGGTGGAGATAGTATAACTTTTTTATTCATGAATTATAGTCTAAATAAATTCCTCAGTGAACAGAATATACGTATGATGTGTTTAATGCATACAGTTTTAAATTGTAATAGTATATATTTTAAGATGATATCTAACTATTTTATTCCTTTTATGCGATATGATTTTTCCCTATAATATAGTGGCTTGGCGTGGCGTAGTTGCTGCAATCATTCACGTTACTTGATCGCGAGTGTACGCAACGTCCGCTGACACTATAGTATTCGATGGGTGACCTGCACCCGGGTTTTTAATGCCAAAACCCTTGCCACACATATTACACGTGTTCCAAATCAATCATACAGTTAAAAAACTTAGGTACTAAAGATAACCACCTAATGGCCTATGTCACTGCGGGTGAATTGATAATAACAAATAAAATAAAATGATGTACTATTTCTTGATTCTTAGTGTTAACTAGATATTTCATTACAATTTACAAGATATCTATTGATTATAATATAATATATGACTAATATTACCTATTCAAAATATATATTAGGTTTATATTATATTATTATGTATAGTTTGATAATAACATTATAATTTATTAATAACTACATAGTAAATAATGCATTACCTATAATAAAAGTGAGAACAGAATAACTCACTGCAGTAATCTAATAATTAATTAAATAGTTAATAACTAAATTATATTATGAATGGCCCACCGTCCGTCAAATTTTGACAAAATTAATTTGATTCTGAAACCGGAAAATAATTTTTTAGTGAAAAATCCATAAAATTGAAAAACTAAAACTTTTTTTGTAAGTTGCTACAATTGAAAGCATCCTAAAAAATGTTTAAAATACATTTATTTTACAATATTTTTTTATAAACTTGAAATTTGGACGAAATTTTTAATATTAGTTTTGAAATGTAAAATAATAATTTTAGTAGATATAATATTCACGCGGACTTGAATTTTTCACCAGTTTGGACATTATTATTTACTATACACAATGACATTTAAAAAATGTAAATATTGATTTTAAACTTGCATAATATATTCCACACCTATATTCATATCGTGGGGCTAGTCAATATTGACTTAAATATTAGTTAATAATTTAATATGCAGTTAGTAATCTTATATTAGGCATGTAATATGCTTGCGATTAGTTCTTGACAAAATTCGACCAATCTTTCTAAATATGATATATATATATATATATAATGTATATTATACATCATTCTTAAAAATATTGTTTGTCAGTCAGTTTTCACTCAGAATCGTTTTTCAAATGTTATACAGACACTTAATTTTAGTTTATGGTTTATGATTTATATTAATATAATAGTATCTGCCACAGATGAATTGTCCATTTTGGTAGAATTAGTTTATAAATCGAGGTACCCTGACGTTAATTATTGCCCCTGAATTGAGGTACATTAATACCATTGGTTAAATCTGAATTCAATGGACAATGATATAAAATCGTTGTATACGAAAAACGATTTTGAGCAAAGATGATCTACACATATTACTACTTATATCTACGGAGAGAAACAGCTTTATTTAAAGTGAACTTAAATATAATTTACAATCTGTTACTAATTAGAACAATAAGTAAAAAAGAATGGTGAATTTATGGCTTGAGAAAAAGACGGATTAAAGAAACCTTTCTATAAAGGCACTTTGTCAGTTAATCACTCATATACCTACATATTATATGCGTTTACAATAATATTATATTACAATTAAATTAAATATGAAATTTTTCACTGGATTAGTTATAAGTACATTTAATTATTTGGTTAAATTCATTTTTAACGAAAAAATTTTATTTGATAAACTCAAAAGTTTCAAGTAGGTACCTACAAATACAATTTTTAGATTACAAAAAAAGATTGAAAATATATATATGAATAGGTCAAAAAGAATTGAAATATTTTAAACTTATAACACGTATAAGAAATTCTAGTATGATTATTTGATGAAAATTTAAATTGCCTTTACAGTTATTATTAATTTTTGAGTTATAAAAAAGCAAAAGCAAAAACAAAAACAAAATTGATTCTTAATTTTTCCTTAATTTGTTTTTTTGTTTTTCAAGATGTAACTAAATTCACTTTCCTATAGAAAAAATGCTTGAGTAGAAGATCGGTTCATTTTTACTGCCCCAAGGCGATAATAGACAGAAAAAATAACGATTTGTTTCATATTAATATTGTTACAAATGTTTTGGGATACTGTAGTGAATTAAATATAACTTATAGGTACGCTTCATTCGAAATGTAATATATAAATATTAAATCATACGAAAAATCATGTATAATTGTTTTTTTTTTTTTAAGATGCGACGAGAAAAATAATCTGAACAAAGTATTCTTTACATCCTCTTTGCGATATTTTTTTGATGCAAATTAAATTCTTTGTCCTTGGCTCAAGTAAAATACCTAGGAATAGTTTTAGACAGAAGACTAACTTGGGGTCCTCATCTTAAATCCAAAAGAAAGTCTCTCAATTCAAGATCTCACTTACTACTTCCTATGTTAAAATCCAAATGCCCAATCTATAATAAAATAAAAATTTACAAATCATTGTTAAGACCAATCTGGTCTTATGGAGCCCAAATATGGGGTTGTACAAAACCAACCCAAATTAAAACAATCAAATCATTTCAGTCCATTTCCCTCCGCAC